GTAATAAATTACGTAATACTCCGTAATAAATTGCGTAATACTCCGTAATAAATTGCGTAATACTCCGTAATAAATTGTGTAATATTATGTAATAAATTGCGCAATATTATGTCCAGACCGTAATTCTTGCGCAATATTATGGCCGTAATATCTTACGTAAGATTACATTTATATAATTTGCTGATGTAGTATATATAAGTTGGTTATCATGGAGATGTAATTCATCTGATTGTTGTCTTTTATTGAAATGGATGAGTCTTTTGGCTTCTACCTGGATTCGATCACATCTACAATGGTAGATTAGATTATTCAATTTATATTGAGCTAATGGACAATTAATTTCTATATGTCCAATTTGTCTGTATTCAAAACATAGATTTTGAGGACAGTCTTTAAACAAATGATCAGTCTGTCTACAACAATTAGCTCTTTTGTTTTGCTTATTACAGCAATTTCTAGCAATATGTCCTTTCTCATAACAATAGTAACATTCATTTTGAGAACAATTTTTATACTATGTGTTTTTAAACTGCAAGTTCTACAAGGATATGAAGTTTTAGAGCAAGATTGACTTCTATGACGAGGTTGGTAAGTAGTCTATTCTTCTTTCTCTTCAAGAAGAAAAGATGCATAGGCTTCATGTGGTGTCAAATATTCTTCTTTATATAATTCATAATCCTCAGGAGCAATATATGTAGGCTGTTTCTTTTTTGGTTGGTCTTGTTTGTAAGAAGTATCCAGGACAATTTTCTTTCCTTTCCAATACATTGTATATTGGCGTGTTTTCCAACTATAACTTGCTTCGACTTTTCTAGACCAGTCATTTTCTAACAGTAGAGAGTAAGAAGTAGCAGGTACTACTTCCATATTAATTGGGATAGTTCTTCCTTATATTTTTACAGGTAAATTCTGAATAATTTTCAAGGGTCTTGATGTTGTTCCAGTGGCAGCAACAATTATACTTTGTGATAATTCGTCGATTTTAAGACCTAATTCCTTTATGGTTTTGTGGGCAATCATACTCACAGATACACCACTATCAATAATAGCTGGATAGGTTCGATTCTTAATATCCACACGACATTTAACAGGAGTAATATTATTGGTAAATTCTGGTTTAGTAATTTCATGATTTGTTTTAGTAATATAGGCAATGAGTGCAGTTCAAATAGAATAGTTGTCCAAAAATCTTTCCTAGTTTTTAGATTGAGTAGAAGTTGTGTTAGATTTTTCAGCCATATTTATATTTCAGTAGTAGGGTGAGGGTAAGTGAGTGGATCTAGGTTCATATCTTTCTTGACTTTGGTCCCTAGACCTGCTTCTATTTTGAGAGTAGTTTTGAGAATAGTTCTTTTCTCTACTTCTACTTCTATTACGAAATCTACTTCTGTCTCTTTGATAATTATTAGACCGATTATTGTTGTAGTTATCATTGTTGTTATAACGGTTGTTGTTGTAATTGTTGTTTCAGTGATAATTGTTGCTTCTGTTGTTATTTCTGTTGTTATTACTTTTGAAATTGTTATTTTGTCTAACTTTTGCCTTTTTGGCATGGCAGTCCTTTTAATAATAACCATGTTTTCTACAATAATGACAAATGTCTTTTTCTTTTTAGCTATTTGCTGTTTCAACAGTATATGCAGTTTGTTGTTGTTGTTGGGCAAGGTTGATACTGAGTTTAGCAATTTGGTCAGTAAGTTGAGTGATAGCCTTGGTAGTGTCGGTATCAGTAGATGCAACCAATCTTCCTGCTTCCTATTGTTTAGCAGTTTCAATAACTTCATCTAGAGTATTTCTGTTAACAGCTTGTACAGATATAGCAAGTTCAGGGCGCAATCTTTTAATAAAATGTTGGATAAGAAAAGCTTCTAGTAGTGCAATAATTTTATCTTTTAAATTCTTAAATTTTGCAACATAGGCATCTATGGTATCAGTTCCTTGTTTTAACTTAAAAAAACTTTGTTGCCAAAGAGCCTTTTGTTTATTATCACTAAACCTGGTTTTGAAAAGAGATTTGAAACTAGTGTTTGGAGGTCCATCATAGGCTGTTATTGTTACATTAGTATATTCTTTAACCCATTCTTTGGCAATTCCTTTTATATATGCTTTAGCCAAAGCATGTTATTAAGTTTCATTCCAATTATTAGCTTTAATAGCATGTTCGAATTCATCAAGCCAGTCAACAGGATCTTGGATTCCATCATCTTTAAAAAATTCAATTTTAATAAAATTCTTTTCGCCGTTACCTCCTAGTTCCAGTCCTTGAGCAAGCCAAGTCAAAGCTTGTACAGCAGTATTTAGATTTGCAGCCATATCTTCTTCTTCACTACTTGATTCTGATTCAGATGATTTTTCTTCGGATGATTCTACTTCTTTAAATAATTTTGCTATAGATGATTTTTTTTTGAATAATTCAGTTGTTTTAGATTTACTATCACCTGCAAACTCATTATTAGCAAATAAATCATATAATTAATGGTATGAACTTGAGTATGGTCAGAGCCTGTAGGTGAAGTAGGTTGACTTTGATTGTGATCCCAAGTTTGTTGGCTAGGAAAACCTTCAGAAAGTTGTAATACTGTATCTTCAAGAAGTGAAACTTGTCAAAATTGTGAGTCTGTCGCAGGGTTCCAAGGGTCAATATCAGTTCTATCTTGGGGTTGGTCTACTTCTCAATAATTTACAATAGAAGTATTGTCGATAGTCAATTATAGAGAAATATATTCAACTTGGTTGTTGTCATTACCAAATAAGTTTCCTTGCTCCAGGTTGAGAATAGTTTCTGGAGTAGAAGGGTGAATTTGTTCTTGTTCCTTAGTTAGATAAGAAGGGGGAGCTCCAGATAGTACTAATTCGTCAATACTATCAGTATCCATCTCTTAATTAATTAAATCAGTAGGAGGAATTATAGGACTAGGGGTAGGAGTATAAAAATCAGCCTCTAAAAGATCAGTACTGTTTGAAAAAAAAGAGGACTCAGTAGTTAGTGTAAGAAATTGAACATTAGTTATATTTTCAGGAATTTCAGCAGGTTGATATAATTGTTGCTCAGTATCAGATTCAAAAATTGTAGTAGTATCAGATAAGAATGTAGTAATGTGAATAGAGCGATCACTGTATTCTAAGTGTTGAGAAGTTGATCCTAATTCCTCAGAATATTGAATATATTGAATAGGTAAAGAAGAATTATTAGAGCAATCAATATATATATCGTAGTGATTCTGATCCGCTTCTTCAATCTGTGGGATATTAGTATATGAAGTAAAATAACGAAATAAAATAGAAATTACAAAACGAGGAACTGGTATATTATCACTATATCTATAACTAAAAATAGCAAGTTTCCAGTTAACAGTATGTAAATTTCTAAAACTTTGCTTAGTAACTGAACTATAAGATATAGCGTTATAGGTTCTAGAATACCAATTTTAAAAGTTACCAAAATTTGAAAAAGTAGCTATATGTTGAGAGGGATAGCACAGTTTACATGATAAATCAGGAAAATAAGCTTGTAATACTTCAACAGCAGCAGCTGTAGGGTTAATATGTTCAAGTTAGTGTAAGTCGATATTGTTTTGATGAAACCTTGTAAGAGTATCTGTTATAAGAATTAAACAAAATTATCTTCCAGAGATAATGTTAGTAGTAAAAATAAAATAAAATAAAATACGATTTGGCCAATAAATATAATTAATAAAATAATATGCGTGCAAGGAAAGAAATAAAAAAAAATGATAATCAAACAAAATAGACAACGTCAAAACAGTTTAAACAATTCAATACAATTAATACAATTATAGCTATTCAATACAGTAAGCCAGCAAACTTGCAAGAGATCAAAGCATAAACTCTCCAAATATAAAATAAAATAATAATAATAATAATAATAAATCAATTAAAGAAGATTATACCAAACAAATTGCTTTCTTTTAAAAGCCAATCCTGTAATAAATTAGTTAGTAATATATAATCCAAGATAAAAGATTCTAGTAGTCTTAGTAGAATTTGCTATAATTCCACAGTTTTCTGCTAGAGTTTCTTCTTGATTATTTCTCTAAGAACAGTTGGGGTTGAGATTTACTTCCTTCCTAAAGACAGTTTTAGTGTTTCCAGAATAATTTTATATTTTCCACCAGAAGGCACCAAAATATTACAATGCTATAGCCTTCTGAGTACCAATATAGCACAGTAACAAGGTCACCTAGTGCAGTGATATACTTTATAAATATACATGGGGTGGAAGTGAAGGGTTAGATTACTTCACTAGCAGGAGGCAGATGATTCAAAATAGTAACAGTATATAACTTTATTAAAATAAGAGATAGTAATAAACCTTGCCTGTAGAAATTACTCTAGAGGGGGAATATTGCACTTTACAAGAGAAAATAAGAGAAGTATCTAATGCTATGAGAGGAGTATGAACTCTAAACTGAGCAAAAAGGGGAAATACACTTTTTATATATCTTTTACATGCCAAGCCAAGGTAGTAGAGAGAGTTGAGGGCTATATTGAGAGAGTTGAAGGCCGTGTTGAGGGAATTGAAGGCTGTGTTAAGAGAGTTGAGGAACTTGAGAGACTTGAGGGCCGTGTTGAGGGAATTGAAAGCCATGTTGAGGGAGTTGAGGGACTTGAAGGACTTGAGGGCCATGTATCATTTTTGATACTACCTTGTCTATTTTAGCCACAGTATGTGCCATAGTGGCTCTACTCTAATATTTTATTTAATAAAGTCTCTGTTATCTCTTATGCCAATAATAATACATAATACAAATAATATAAATATCTGATATAAAATATAAGCTAATAGGTGTGATGGCTTAGTGAAGTGGTCAAGTCGTCACCCTCTCCAAGTAGCAGGTCTAGGGTTCAAATCCCACGGACGACGAAAGT